GGCAGAAGGATCACTCGAGCCAGGAGTTTGAGGTTGCTGTGAGCTAGGTGACGCCACGGCACTCACTCTAGCCTGGACAACAAAGCGAGACTCTGTCTCAAAAAAAAAAAAAAAAAAAAAAGATGGAATAGTGGGGTTTGAATTTAGACCTGTGATCAAATTCCAATCTGCTTAGCAGCCATATGACTGGATAAGTTACCCACCCTTTCTGTGACACGGTTTTCTTATCTGAAAATGGGAGCTACCTTGCAGGGTTCTGAGGAGAATGAAAGATTACTAGATTATGTTCTATTTGATTTTTATTATTTATTTTTTAGAGACAAAAAATGTAGGCTGAAATGTAGTGGCCCAGTCATAGCTCACTGTAACCTTAAATTCCTGGGCTCAAGCAATCCTCCTTCAGCCTCCTAAGCAGCTGGGACTACAGGCTCAAGCCATCACAGCTGGATAATTTTTTTTTGGTAGGGACAGGGTCTTGCTGTGTTGTCCAGGCTGGTTGTCTCAAACTTCTGACTTTGAATGGTCCTCCTACCTCGGCCTCCCAGAGTGCTGAAATAATAAGGATGAGCCACCTCACCTGGCCATGTCCTATTTGTTATAATCTTTTTTTAAAATTTTTTTTATGCTTGTGAAAATAGCTTAAGCCTAGCTGTTCTCTCCTAAGCTTTGCTAGATATCACTGTAGTTTTTCCTGCCTTAGCTGCACAGTCCATCTTTACATTTTGCAGAGGCATTGTTCAATTTGCCATTTTTCTGCATTGGGGAAGTTTGGTTGAACACCAAAGGTGAGATGATTCTGGTTGGGTTAGGTCCTTAATCCGTTTTCTGTTACCTAAGGCTGGGTAATTTATAAAGAAAAGAGGTTTATTTAGCTCACAGTTCTACAGGCTGTAACAGAAGTATGGCACTGGCATATGCTTAGCTTCTGGTGAGAGCTTCAGGCTGCTTCTATTCATGGCAGAAGGCAAAGGGGGCGAGCAGGCTTGTGTAAGTACCATTTGGTAAGAGAGACAGGGGAGGAGGAAGGTGCAGGCTCTTTTTAACAGGAACCAACAGTGAGAACTCCCCCTTGCCCCCCAGTGAGGACATAAATCTATTCATGAGGGATCTGCCTCCATAACCCAAACACCTCCCACTAGGCCCCATCTCCAACTTTGGGTATCAAATTTCAAAATGAGGTTTGGTGGGGACTGAAACCATATCCAAACCATAGCAGCCCTCCACCGCTGTGGCTATGCCTTTGCATATGACTAGCTAATGTGGAGACAAAGGTGGCACTGATGACCTGGGAGCCCAGAAAGACTTGCAGATTCATGAGCTCCATCTGGGTTATCTGGGCTCTACCAATAATGGGAGAGGTTCTTGGGCTATTGGCTGAAACCTGGTGAGACAGTGGATTCTGAGAAGGGGAAGGAAAGCTTGAAAGGGAAATAGCAGGATAAAAAAAAAACACCGTCCTTCATCCCTTTTAATGTCTAACCGCAGATACTTGCCTATATGAAGGAATTTAGCTCCAGTGACAGCAGAACCAGAATTCTCAACTGATGATGGAGACTCATTTATCCCAGGACCATGAGAATGGGTGGGCCCATGATTTGGAGCCAAAGATAAAGAATGTAACTGCCAGGCCGGGCACAGTGGCTCACACCTGTAATCCTAGCACTCTGGGAGGCCGAGGTGGGAGGATCACGCAAGGTCAGGAGTTCAAAACCAGCCTGAGCAAGAGTGAGACCCCATCTCTACTAAAATTAGAAAGAAATTAATTGGCCAGCTAAAAAATATATATAGAAAAAATTAGCCGGGCATGGTGGCACATGCCTATAGTCCCAGCTACTCGAGAAGCTGAGGAAGGATCACTTGAGCCCAGGAGTTTGAAGTTGCTGTGAGCTAGGCTGATGCCATGGCAATCTAGCCCAGGCAACAAAGTGAGACTCTGTCTCAGAAAAAAAAAAAGAATGTAACTGCCAAATGGCAGTTTCAAAAGCCAGGGTGGGAGTCCTTATTCCTAATAGTCAAAAATCTTCCCCCAAGGTCTTCCCACACATAACAACAAAGAAACAAGACTGGGCCGAGCGAGGTGGCTCACGCCCATAATCCTAGCACTCTGGGAGGCCGAGGCGGGTGGATTGCTCGAGGTGAGGAGTTCGAAACCAGCCTGAGCAAGAGTGAGACCCCGTCTCTACTATAAATAGAAAGAAATTAATTGGCCAACTAATGTATATAGAAAAAATTAGCCGGGCATGATGGTGCATGCCTGTAGTCCCAGCCACTCGGGAGGCTGAGACAGGAGGATCGCCTGAGCCCAGGAGATTGAGGTTGCTGTGAGCTAGGCTGATGCCATGGCACTCACTCTAGCCTGGGCAACAAAGCGAGACCTTTTTTTAAAAAAAAAAAAAAAAAAAGGAAACAAGACTGTTTGGGGCCTGGGCACAGTGGCTCATGCCTATAATGCCAGCACTTTGGAAGGCTGAGGCAGGAGGAGAATCACTTGAGCCCAGAGGTTCAAGGCTGTAGTGAGCTATGATCACATCACCGCACTCCAGCCTGAGCAACAGAGACTCTGTCTCTTAAAAAAAGAAAAGAAAAGAAAAGAAACAAGACTGGAAACCTGGGACTGGTAGGTACCTTATCTGTCTTCATTAGGGCTGCAGGACTTAGCATACCACCTGCCACATAGATGAATACGGTTTTGCTGAGTGGAGGAGCTGAGGGTCCCCATGCCTAGCAGGGGAGCCAGCAGTCACTGTGGTGAGTTAAGGTCTGAATAGAGGGGTGAGGAAGACCTTTGTGCTTTCTGTGCTGTGGCAATTCTTGTCCTGGAGCCTCATCATCTTACAACCTAGGGTTTGTTTATTTTTGGGGGGGTGGAGGGAATGGAGATTTTTCTTAGGTTCCTAGTGAACATAATTCCTTAAGTGGAAAGGGAACTGCCCACATCCAGGCCAGGTAGGGTATGAGGACTGAACTCTAATTTTTTTGCTAAAAACTCCTTCCTAAGGAGGCCAGCTGGGTTAGGCTGGCAAATGGTAAGGAGGCCAGCAGGGTTAGGCTGACAAACGGTAAATTCCCACCAAGTGGCTTTTGTTAACCAAACAAAGCAGTGGTTTACTTCCTGACCTGATTCTGGTATGGCATTAACATCACCTAAAAGATAGGAAGCCCCTGTCTTAACTCAAGCATCCTAGCAGATGCCTATCATAAATTTAAAATATCTTAACTCAAGCATCCTAGCAGGCGCCTATTGTAAATTTAAAATGTCCTCCTGTCTGGACCTCCCAGAGTGCACATACCCTTATCTTAAAGTAAGCACATCCTTTCTGGTCTTCTAGATAAATTCTAACTCTCTCAGCCAATTGCCAGCCAAAGAATCTTTAAACCCACCTATAACCTGTAACCCCCCGCTTCGAGATGTCTCACCTTTTTGGGCCAAACCAATGTGTGCCTCTCATGTATTGATTTGTGACTTTGCCTGTAACCCCCGTCTCTCTGAAAATGTATAAAACTGAACTGTAACCCAGCCACTGCGAGTCCACTTGCCCAAGGCCTCTTGGCAGTGGCTCTGGATCATGGTCCTCAAATTTGGCTCAGAATAAATCTCTTTAAAATTATTTTACAGAGTTTGGCTTTTTTCCGTCGACAGGTACAACTATCAACAGACCACCATTCCTTCTTTTTTTCTTTGCGACAGAGTCTTGCCCTGTTGCCCAGGCTAGAGTGCCATAGAGTCATCATAGCTCATTGCAACCTCACACTCCTGGGCTCAAGCAAATCTCCTGCCTCGGCCTCCCAAGCAGCTGGGACTACAGGGACTTGCCTCCACTACCAACTTTTTCTATTTTTAGTAGAGACAGAGTCTCGCTCTCGCTCAGGCTGGTCTCTAACTCCTGATCTCAAGCGATCCTCCCATGTCAGCCTCCCAGAGTGCTCGTTCAGATTACATGTATGAGCCACCACACCACACTGGCCAAAGCCTCATTTGTATAACAAGATTTGTATAACAAGAGTAATTACTTGCTTCATTGAGAAGTCATAAGGATTAAATATTAAGTTGAGCCATATGAACCTGCTGTTTATTTCTGGAGGTCAAAAACTGTCTAATAGATCATGCATGGGTGGTGGTAGGGGGAGGGAATCTATCCAGATAGTAATTCCTTTGTGCTACTGACTTTTCAAAAACCTCAGACCTAAATTCTTTCTATTCTCCTATTCTGCCCAAGGCACAGTACTGCTGCTCAACAGTCTGGGTGGCCCTGGGGGCTCAGAGGTTGTACACTATTGACTGACCCTGTGGAGGCCAATAAATTACCCAAGGGACAGCCTCATGAGATTTAGCAGCAGTTCCTCCAAAAATAGAGCTTTTTCCAGCCAGCCACAAGCACATCCCTTGGGGGCCAGAGAAGTCAAGAGCCTTGACACATACTCTGCCACACAGACTCAGAGTGCACTTTCACTCTCCTTCCCAGCGCCTATTTTTGCCTTTGTCACTGTAGGACGGATAGTGACATTGGTTCCATTTTAAAATAGGGAAACTGAGGCCTACAGAGGACCAGGCCTCGTCTAAGGTCTCAGGCGCTGCCTGGTCTTGAAAAGGACCAGGGGGTTTGACGTCAGATCGATCAGCCCAGGAACTACCTCTAGTGTCACCTCAACAAAGTTCTTGAATCTCTTGGGCTTGATACCTCTCTTCCTCATTCGGCTATTTTCAGTGCAAGCGAAGCCCTCCCAGCGAGATGACCTGCGAGGAGCGCCGAGAGCGCGCGCGCCAAGGCCTGAACGGTGGACGCCCGCCGACGCACACCCGCGGCCCCCCAATATCAGTATTTAATTCCGACTAGAAACAGAACTGAGGCTAAATATCGCCAGGTTCAGGCTGACTGCAAATTCCAAGAACCCAAACAGCGGGACCCCCGGGCGCTGCCCAGACTCACTAAAGGGCGGAACAGCCGGGCTGGCTACAGCGGCGCGACCGGAAAGGGTCAGAAGAGACGTGCGCGCCTGCGCGCCGCCATCTTGCGGAAGGGGAGCCGCGCCGCCCGGCGGAAGTCTTGTTAGGCACGGGGTGGGGCTGCGCGACCCCGAGGGGCGGGGCCAGGCCATGGCGGCTGTGCAGCCCGACGGGCGCGCGGTGCGGGCTCCTGCCAGGACACCCCGACCTGGCGGGGCCACGGACCCAGCGCTAGGAGCTGTGGGGCCACCCTCGGGGCAGAGTGGTAACAGAGCTCTCCGGCCGGGGGAGCGCACCCCCGCCGCCGTGGAGAAGCGGGGGCCCTACATGGTGACGCGCGCACCCTCCATTCAGGCCAAGCTGCGTGAGTGTGGCCGGTGTGGGGGGAGGTCTCCGCCCTTGGAGGGCTGCCGGCTCCCGAGGGCGGGCTCCGGAACGCTGCTGGGCCTTGTCCTCAAAGGGAATGGGTTAGCTTCAGCCTGCTCCCGCCCCTGAAAATCGTTCGGAAAGAGCGAGCTGGGGAGACACTGCAGAGTGGGGAGGTTCCGGCTGACCCGGGCCCTTTAACTTCCAGAGAAGCACCGGGACCTGGCCAAGGCCGTTCTGCGGAGAAAGGGCATGCTGGGGGCCTCGCCGAACCGCCCCGACTCTTCAGGGAAAAGGTCTCATCAGGCGCCACCTCCTCTATGCCGACAGCTTTCAGAAAAGTCTTTCATCCTCACTCAGGCTGGGAGACAGGGTGCTCACGTCGATTAAGGCCGAGCTAGTGATTCCCCTGACGGCAACCCGTCAGGTTCCTATCTTTAAAATAGGAACAAGGACAACCTCTTTTCTTTTAAAAATGTGAAAGGGCTTTGGAATAGGGAAGTTCTGTCATTGGACAGGATCGTCCATTATCTGAGTTTCCACGTTCGGGAGAAGAATAGTGGCTGGAGTCCCAGGAGTGAAGATGGAGAGCAGTGTGGAAATAGTGCCATTTTTGTTTTGTTTTTAAAAACAGAATAGTAAACTCTTAGAGCTGGATAATACCTTATCCAGTGCCTCCTTGTATAGATAAGAGTTAAAACTTGGAGAGGTGGAGGGATTTGCCCAAGGACTTGTGGTTTTTCTGTCCTCTGGTTAAATAAGGTGGGGGTGCAGGGGAGAGTACTTTTCCTGGTTCATGAAAGGGGTATGCTTTTTCTCAAGAGCAGGGAGGGGGGTAGTGGAATGAGGACTATGTACTTGGAGCTGCAGGCATTGGTGGCTGTGTGACCAGGTAGAAGGTGAGTCAGGAGTAGTACAGTCAGTTCTTTTTCTATAGCAACAAGGACTCTGGCTTTTCCTGTGAAATGTAAGTGCTTTCATCAATGCTTGGTCTCTTCTTCCCCATCTCCCCTCAGGTCAGTGAAGTTTAACAAGGGCTATACTGCTCTTAGCCAGAGTCCAGATGAAAACCTGGTGTCCCTTGACTCTGACAGGTGAGTCCTTCCCTTGGAAACATCCCTTGGGGAGTGACTTGGCTAGAACTGCAGGTGGCTTGGTGCTTTTGTTCTCTGTCTCCTCCAAGGTCCTTCATGTCCATTCCAGGTCTGTTCTCTTCTCATCCCCTTCCTGGGATGGCTTGGTTAGCTGATTCATAGGTAATCATGCTGCTGTAGGATTTGAAGGACCAATGTTGTCTGGGGGAACTGTCCTGCTGTATTATGTCTGTACTGTTAGTGAGAGTGACCCCATCCATACCAGATCCAACTGAGGGGAACCACTTTTACTCAAGGCACATTCTGGGCTTGAGTTGTAGGGTGTGAGTTCTTTGCTTCACAAGTCTTCCAGACGCCCTTGCATGCTCTCCACTTTGCTGTTTGCAGCTGTGCTCCACAGACATCCCCCTAAACTGACCGTTTTCCTTTTCTCCTAGTGATGGGGAGCTGGAATCCAGATACTCCTCGGGGTATTCCTCTGCAGAGGCAAGTCCAGAGCAAGTTTCTGCGCGGGGCCAGGCTGCAGGCAGCATCACTGCTACTGCCAAATGCTTGTTCGGTGCCTGCTGTGTGCACAGCACTGTGCCAGACTTCTGGTCTGTTCTCCAATCTTCCACTCTGCTATTCCCCCAGCCAGGGGCATAGGTGTCTGAGGAGGGCTGTTGAAAATCCAGGAGACCATATATCATCAGGGCTGGAAACAGTCTCAAAAGTCTTCTAGGCCATAGCTTAGAAAAGGAATCCTCTTGCTAGATCCCAGCTAAGTGTATACTAGCCTCTGCTTACTTGAATGCTTCTTGTGATTGGGTACTATCTCCAAGAAGCCTTACTGCCCACCACTCCAACACACACACACAGTTCCTTCTTTGGGTAGCTCTTAGAGAAGTCTTCCTTATTAATCTGAAATGTTTCTTGTAGCCTGGACTCATTGGTCCTAGTCCTGTTTTCTAGTGTCACACAGTAACTCTACTCTCCCTTCTTTTGATGTCTTTTATCTGAGGTTAGTATTCCTGTCGCTCCTCCACCCATCCTCCACCAAGCTTGTTTTCTTCCAGGCTAAACAACTTCTGTTTATTCAGTTGTTCCATCTATGAAAACTCAGACTAAAGCATTCCTGGGCTGGCCTTATGGACATGTTTCCAGAGGGATTTTCCCAGACAAACACAGGGACATAAAGTTCTGGCATGTACAGTTTACTCCTTTTGACAGCTGACATGCTGGAGACATGACTGTACACTGCTATTTCTTCCTTATTCTCCTGGAAATCCTTGGCTAATCTCTTGAGTTGCTGCCAAAGAGAATGGAGGCAGTTTGCAAATTATGTCCTCCTTGATTGCCTAAGTGTTAAAACTAAGAAAAAGGCCAGGCGAGGTGGCTCACGCCTATAATCCTAGCACTCTGGGAGGCCGAGGCGGGTGGATTGCTCGAGGTCAGGAGTTCAAAACCAGCCTGAGCAAGAGTGAGACCCCGTCTCTACTATAAATAGAAAGAAATTAATTGGCCAACTAATATATATAGAAAAAATTAGCCGGGCATGGTGGTGCATGCCTGTAGTCCCAGCTACCCGGGAGGCTGAGGCAGCGGGATTGCTTGAGCCCAGGAGTTTGAGGTTGCTGTGAGCTAGGCTGATGCCATGGCACTCACTCTAGCCTGGGCAACAAAGTGAGACTCTGTCTCAAAAACAAAACAAAAAAAAAAACTAAGAAAACTTACCAAAGATCCAGAGGAAGTTCTACAGTTTTTCTTTCTTTCTTTTTTTTGAGACATAGTCTTACATAGTTTTAAACTCCTGACCTTGAGCAATCCGCCCACCTTGGCCTCCCAGAGTGCTAGGATTACAGGCGTGAGCCACTGTGCCCGTCCTTCTACAGTTTTTCTTAGCCCCATTTATTTTCCTTCTGCTTAGTGATGCCAGGCTGACAGGTTCCATTTTGCAGGGATCCAGCTCTGCTGATATTGAAGGGTAACTCATCTAACTGGCAATATAGACAAAGCTGCTTCCCACTCCGTTCCATTGTAACCCATACTCTTCCACTACTTTGGAGCATTGTTCTGTTATCATTGTCCCATATTCAGCCTTTGTTTATTTTATTTTATTTTTTTGGCATGAATTCCAGAGCATTTTTTTTTTGTTTATTTTTTTATTATTTTTTTTTTGGGGGGGACATGCCATATTCAGCCTTGAGAGGGATCAGTCTAGGTTCCCAGTGGGAAAGGTCAGGTATTACCTTTCAAACATAATCTGGAATTAGATATTTATGTCAGATGCCTAAGGATCTTCAGTGAGAACAGCTTATGTGAGGGGGGTCAGTGCCAGCGAAGCCAAGGCTCACTGCTGCGTAAGGCACAACTAGGTAAAGGTGGCTCTTCCGCCTATAGTTCAGTGATGTGTGGGCTTGGCCTAGGAGTGGAACATGGACAGGAAGCCTGGTAAGGGAATGTGGGCCCATCTTTGAGGCAGTTATTTCTGCTTTGCATCTTGGCTAGTTCCCTCCTCTCCTTCTCTTAGCAGGTGAACCAGGATGTGAGCCGGCAGCTGCTCCAGGATGGGTATCACCTGGATGAGATTCCAGATGATGAGGACTTAGACCTCATTCCGCCTAAGCCTGTGGCCTCTTCAACATGTTCCTGCTGCTGGTGCTGTCTTGGGGACTCTTCTTCCTGTACCCTCCAGTAGACATAACCTTCCAAGATGGGCCCTGTTCACCATGAGGCTACAGAACCCTGTTGGCCCCTCATAGCTCACAGAATGCAGTGGGAACTGCTGTCAGCCCAGAGTCACTAGAGGCACTGACTCTGGGAAGTCAGTAATATTTCAGGTAGCTCTTATCTGGTGCTTCTCAGGCCAGGGGGCCACATCTGGGCTGTTCGGTTAGAAGTGGAATTCTGCAGTTTTCTTCTGCTGTTGGAGCAGAGTTTGGAGAAGGCACTTTAATAAGGGCAGGAACAGAGGAATTCTGATTTTCATGGTGGGTGACAAAGGTGGCAAAAGAAAACACTTGCTGCAGCCATCTTGACTGGTATTTGTCATGGTGCTTTAGGTCACAAAGGTGGCAAAAGAAAACACTTGCAGCCATCTTGACTGGTATTTGTCATGGTGCTTTAGGAGGGGAAAAGAAGAGCTTTTGTGCCCAGTCTATGCTGGATAGTGTTGTATGGAGGCAGAAAATAGCACTTTATGGGTTGTAGCCTGGGAATCTGAAGAAGAATTTAACTGTATGAGACCAGTTCGGGAAATTACACATGCTCTCCTCCTCATCCCAGCTCTAAGATGGGTTACAGGTTTACCTTTAAGAGAGCGTAAAGTGGGTCCTTTTGACCCTCTTCAGGTTACACCTGTCTAGCTATGGCGGTATTACAGCAGGTTGCTTAATAACCCAACAGGATCATGGCCTCCAGAATCCCTGGACCTGGGGTATCCCCAGCTGGTCCAACTGTCTGAGTGGGTTTAGTGACTCTGGTGGGCCCTTCCCTAGTTAGAGAGAAACTGTTCCAACATGTACGTATTTGTTTATTTGTATTTCCTTGGTCTTGGCTAGTCTTTTCACCTGGTGTCCAGCTAAAGATTGGGTTGAAGGTACTCTAGCCCCAGTGCCTGCAGTTTTTGTTCTTACCACCAGAGAGCTGCAGGGAGCAGTCTGGTGCCGCCTTATTTGTTTAGCTTTTTAAACTTGAGAAGTAGCAGTGAGTGAGAGTAGGTACACTGGTATAGCTGTGTAGGCATTGGCCTAGAGGCTTACAGACAGGATGGGGAGGAGAGGCCTAAGCTAGCTTCTAGGCCCCTGCCTGAGATCAATCTGCCAGTGCTGAGGGCTTCCCCTCATTCCAGCATGCACCATTTTATTGCCAGATTGTTCTGGTTACAGCATGGTCCTCACAGTGGATACTCAGTAGGCTTTATAGTAATCCTCTGGGTATAACATAGCTTCTTGGCCCCCAGCCTGAACACAGCAGAAACAGGCATAATTTCCCTTGTGACTGCCCCTACCCTGACCCTGTGGATAGCATCTCTTGCTACACCAAGCCTTTGTAGAATTTAGTTTGTCAGTAGTTCCTTTATTTTTTTGCCTCACCCACGACTACAGTGAGGTTTCAGTGGGCCTATCCAGGGTTCCTAGCCCAAGGGCATGGTGGTCAAGATTAGGGTATAGGCCCCATGTGGGAAAGTGTCCAGTCTGTTGCTTCACTTGGTGTCCTGGGACCACTAGAGGCACATGAGGGATGATTTGGCTTCCTTTTGCTCTATAAGAGATGATTAAGAGACTGAGAAGATTAGATAAAAAGAGGCCTTACTGGTCAGATAGCTATCCTTGTGAGGATAGTCCTATTATTGATAGTACTTAATGGGCACAATCTTTGTGTTTCTCTAATTGTGGAAGGTTGTGAGGAATACAATAATTAGGGGCTGATTTATTCTACGAGCTAGTAGTACCACAGGAGGGGGATGGTACAGAGACCAGCAGCACGCCAGCTTGGGGTCTGGGGAGTAGGGGAGGCAGATGTTATTCTCTTCTGGACTGGGACTCTGCAATTCTACCCAGATGGAGCCACATTTCTATGGGGGAGTTGGTTAGGGCAGAGTAGCTTGGGCATTTTGGCAGCTGCTAGGGTTAAGGAGGGCAGGACCCTAAAACCAAGGCCCTCTGGGTGGTTGCTGCAGTAATCAACACTGATGTATTTAGCTGCAGCTGTCCCTGGGGAGGATCTTTCAAAGCAGGTTGAGCCCGTTGTAGGAATGCAGTACCTTGTAGAAAAAGCTTGCAGTGGGCCAGTCTCATGCCTGTAATCCCAGCACTTTGGGAGGGCAAGGAAGATTGCTTGAGGCCAGGAGTTTGAGACCAGTTTGGGCAACATAGCAAGACCCTGTCTCCACAAATTTTTCAAAAATCAGTCAGGCTTGAGGACACATGTCTGTAGTCTTAGCTACTCAAGAGGCTGGGGCAGGAGGATCACTGGAGCTCAGGAGTTGGAGATTGCAGTGAGCTGTGATCATATCACTGCACTCCAGCCTGGGCAATACAGTGAGACCTTGTCTGTCACACACACAGAAAAAGCTGCAGGGACCTGGAGGGACAGTGTGCAGTGAAGTAGGGTAAAAATGGTCAGTTGTGGCCGGGCGCGGTGGCTCACGCCTGTAATCCTAGCTCTCTGGGAGGCCGAGGCGGGCGGATTGCTCGAGGTCGGGAGTTCGAAACCAGCCTGAGCAAGAGTGAGACCCCGTCTCTACTATAAAATAGAAAGAAACTAATTGGCCAACTAATATATATAACGAAAAAATTACCGGGCATCGGTGGCCTCATGCCTGTAGTCCCCAGCTACTTGGGAGGCTGAGACAGAAGGATTGCTTGAGCCAGGAGTTTGAGTTGCTGTGAGCGAGGGCTGACGCCACGGCACTCACTCTAGCCTAGCAACAAAGCGAGACTCTGTCTAAAAAAAAAAAAATGGTCAGTTTTGGGGCCAAGGTCACAAACCAAAATACACCAATAAAGGCACCACAGGTGCCCAGAGCCGAACTGCCTTATTTCAGAGTGCTGGGTGTTCTGCAGGTGACAGTCCCCTGGGGACAGGGTTGTATGCAAGCTTACCTCATAGATAGGAGTGGTACCATGTGGTATTTCCATACTACTCTGTAGAACTGACCTGCACTTCTCCAGTTCTGCATATTTAGTGAGATCAAATGCAATCATGCTAGTTGAGCTGTGTCTGTGTTACAATAGGGTTTTTAAGAAAGCATGGATATCTGAAGTGAAAAATAGTGTAATTGCCCAACTGTGGCAATTCTCCTGGAGACCCACTTCTACTCTTCCTACAGGCTTCATTTGGGGCCCATTTCATTGGAGACATGATGAAGGCCTTGCAGATCATTCTCTTTAGTAGTTCCCTTTTAGCACTGCAGTCCCCAACCCCAGGCCATGGCCATTAGGAAATGAGCTGCAAACCAACACATCTGGTCAGTGGAAAAATATCCCTTCCAACCTCCCATCATGACCAGTCCCTGGTGCCAGAAAGCTTGGGGACCACTGCTTTAGCAGACCCTTTATTTAGCTGAAGGAAATTTTGGAGGCCAAAAAAACAGCAATATCTTTGAGGGGGCTTCCTGGAACTCTGGTTTACAGGGCCTAGTATAGAAAGAAGCCAGAAACATACTTTTGTGTGAATCTAATCCTTTGCCCCAAAGAAAGGAGTCAGTGCCTGAGTCTGCCTGGTCTAGGGTGACAGATTTAAGATTGTAGGTCAGAACACCTTATCAGAACAGATAGCCAATGGCCTCTTGCATAGGTATGTTTCACTCTGGAAGTGGGGCAGAGGGAGCGCAGATGCCTCCTAAAGACTGCCCTGCTAGCTTAGGAAAGGTAGCTGGGGTTCTCAAGAATGAAAAGTGGTGCTCACGCCTGTAATCCTAGCACTCTGGGGGCAGGCGGATGCTCAAGGTCAGGACTTTGAATCCAGCCTGAAGCGCGACAGTCTCTACTATCATACAATACGAAGAACTCTATTGAAACAAATCATATTACACAAAAAAATTACAGCTGGTGGCGATGCCTGTAGTCCCCAGTACTTGGGGGCTGCGAGCAGTAGCCGCTTGGACCAGGGTAAGTTGCTGTGAGCTAGGCTGGATGCCACGACACTCACTTTTAGCCTGGCAACAAACTGAACTCTTGATCCAAAAAAAAAAAAAAAAAAGGTGGATGCAGCCTGGTGCAGTGCTCATGCTGTAATCCTAGCACTTGGAGGCTGAATGGGGATTGCTGGAGCTCAAGAGCGATGCCAGGCCGGCAACGAGAGACCTGTCTTTTACTAAAATAGTAAAATTAGCTGGGTATGGTGCATGCCAGCTTGTAGTCCCAGCTACTCAGGAGGCTGAGGCAGTTAGGATTGCTTAGCACAGGAATTTGAAGTTGCTGTGAGCTAGGCTAATGCCCACAGTAACTCTTTCCCAGGGCAACAGAGTGAGACTGACCTGTTCTCAAAAAAAAAAAGGAATTGAGACCTCCCTAGCTCACTCCCCCCACCTTCATATAAGAAAAATTTCCTCTGGGAGGCCAAGGTGGAGATTCACTCAGGTCAGCGAGTGCAAACAGCCTAGAGCACAGAGTGAGACCCCACCTCTACTAAAAATACGAAATGAATTGCCAAGCTAAAATATAGAAAAAATTAGCCGATAGTGCGCATGCCTTGTAGTCCAGCTACTCAGGAGGCTGAGGCAGGAGGATTGCTAGAGCACGCAGGGAGTTTGAGGTTGCTGTGAGCTAGGCTGACCGCCACGGCACTCCAGCCTGGCGCAACGGAGTAAGATTCTGTCTCACAAAAAAAAAATTTAAAAGAAATTGGATTCAGTCTGTCCCTGGGGCCCTATATCCTGCAATGATTATAGTTCTAGAGAAGGTAGGGTCAAACTCTGTAGAGGCACAATCAATGATTTTAATACTTTTCAGGCCATATAGTCAACCTTGCCATTGTGGCTTGAAAGCAGCAAAGGCATATATTAACTGAGCACGTGTGCCCAAACTGGCCTGTCCAGCCATCAAGTTTTGTTACCCATGCCCGTAGGCCAGTTTGAAAATAAGAAGCAAAAAATCTTGCCACTGATGACTAGTGGTGACCCTTAGACCACCCCTTCCTCTCTGTAGGGCTGGAGGCCCAAGCTGCCAAAGGCTCAATGTTCTTTCCCCACAGCTGCACACCAAGTGTCTTTATTCTTGTTGATCACAGCAAGAAAGTGTAAGTCAACACTAGTCCACAGGCCTGCCTTTTCCCTTTGTTACTCTACCTGCGATAGGAAATGGGGCCCAGTCTCAGGGGCAAGAACTCTGTCCTTAGAAATTACTGCAACGTCTTGCTCTGACAGATGCTGAGTTTAATACTGCTCACAGAATTTCACCAGACAGCCCTAATCTATAGGCCTGGTAGTAGACTTGCTGCCTTTGGAGTTGGCAAAGTCTCGGCTTGGGGTGGCAAGGAATGGTGAGCAGATACCAAGGAGTATCAGGCCCTCCCCCAAAGATGGTCAAGCCTGGGTGTACTCAGAGTCACTACCTCCAAGCTCACTCCTCCATCCAGCTCTTCCGCATGTACAGGGAGTCCAGATAAGGGAAGGGGGCTGGCTGGGGCGCCAAGGAAGTGGGCTGGCCAGGATTTGGGGTGACTAGCAGAGGAGGGCTAGGGAATTGCAGCCTCTATAGAAGACAGGCACACGGAATCAGCAGGTCCTTAGGCACCGTAACTTCAGTGAACACTCTCATTGCCCCGATGAAGAGCCTCCACACGTGCCAGGGGATTGTTGTCTGGGCTGTGGTGTGCTTGACGTCACTGCCCCCTGCACCATCAGGCAGGATGCTGGCAGAGTCCTAAGTGCCAAGACCTTGTACTTCAAGTGAAGAGCCAGGGACCTGGGCAGGAAGAATATAGGACAGTGAGTCTTCAGTACTGTGTCCCATCAGCTCATGGCCCACGTACCCCAGGGCAAAGAGAGAGCTCTGCGCTACTACCCGTTGCTGGCTCCTGTCAGCATGGAGGCCAATCATGGTCCCTGGTAAGGGGAGTGGAGGCCTGTGGCCATCCCTCCAACAACTTGATGGGAACCCAGCAGGTATACTCACATTGTGAACTTTGCAGGGTTTTTATGCCACAACCACAGGATGCCCCACGTCCTCACTCCATTTCATAATGTGAAGTCTGGCCACCAGGGGTCATAGTCAGAGGGTAGGGGTCTTCCGATCCGGTTGGGGAAAGAGCCGTGCTTCTTGTGGGGCTGGGTATACGTAGATTTTACATAGGGTTTGGCACTCCGATGAACTTGGGTGTCAGGCAGCACGCCACAGTTGTTGTCTGAACAGGCACTGCACTCACACATGTCTGGGGACAGACACATTGGTCATGTGGAACTGATGAGTATATAGGCTGGAATATCTGATCAATAATAGCCTGGGTTCAAAATTTTCCCACAGTTATTGACAGGGCTTAAACATCAGGGGGGGGCGGGGGGGGGGGGGCAGTCCTCAATAA